TGTCAGTGATACACTTGACTGTGCTTCATGCTCCACTCTTGGTCTTCCCACATTTTGATATCATGTTTAATCTATTAATGAACAGATATACAGCAACACAGCATCTTGTTCTTAAATTGATCATCTTTGTTATGTTAAAGTTTTGGTTTAGCAAAGCTGTTTTGATTTTTAGAATTATCAGTTTGACTGGAAATCCTTTTTTTTTTACATGTTGTGTAGGAGGTCCTGGATCAGCTAAAGGATGTATTGTGAATGACCTCAAAGCCATGTTTGGGTTTGCTTTCATATCAGCAGAAGATTTAATCTTGCAGAAACTGCCAAAAAGAGCTGCAGAAGATGGGAAGGACCCTGTTTCTGGTACACATGGACTGGCTGAGCTTTTGAAAGATAATCCAGAATATCTTACCTTGGATTGGGTGTTGGAAATACTTCTGGAAGAGATTGAAAAGTTCCCAAATCAGCCAATACTGGTGGATCTTATTCCCAACCTCAAGTTTATGATGAGGGTGGATAACTTCATCAAGAAATGTGATATTGAAATGAAAGAGTTTGAACAGAAGGTATTCTATAACTTGTATTTAATTACATATTTAAGTTTAATTCGTGGATATTTTTATGGCTGAAGATGTCAATCTATTAGTCATGGAAAGGGTCATAAATCTGTAACTTGGATGGATTCATTTCCTTTATTGTCCTGACTTTGATTCGGTGGAAATATTGTAAGGAGAAATTAGATGCCAGTTACTCCAAGGTTTTTAAAGGGTTTTAACTTAAAAGAGGTGAGAGTGCTTACATATCTATCTCTGTTGCTACCTGCTCTTTGTGGCATTTTTACAATGAATAAGCTTGCTGTAACATGTATGGCATGTTTGTTTTTGGTTTTCATGTCTGCTTCACAGTTGTTCATTACAGTTTTCTGTTTTTCCTCCATTCAGATAACGTAGTGCTTCAAAAATCCATTTTGACATGGACAGAAAGGATGTGCCCATATCACACCAAACATGTCTTATCTTAATGACATTAACAGTGTATTCATTTCACCTTGACAAGTTAAATATGTTTGTTTACTCCTCAGTGTCCTTGTGCTTTTGCCTTAAACTTGACACTGTCCAAGGAGAATCTTCTGAAGAACATTAGAAACAGCCATTCCCCTGCATGTGCCAAGCCTCCAAGCCAAGATCCCAGGGATGCATCTTCAGATCAAGGGGATGAAATGGACACCAGTAGGACTAAGCGTCGCTTTGCACTCTATCAAAAATCAGTGCAAGATTTCTTGAACTATTTTAATCTGGAAGACAGAATTGTGCAGGTTGACACATCTGCAGCACAAGTACAACATATCTGGGATGCTATGATGGACTTTTTTGCAGCTGAAATGGATTTCAGTGCAAGCAAAGTGATCAACACTGTTGTGCTCTTCTCATTTGGTGAGTTCTCAGATTGAGTGAATTACATTATGTAACTCATATTTACTACAGCTTGACTTGTGCTCTCCTTTGCTGCCCTGGGACTAGCAGAAATATTCAATATTCAGTATCACTGTAATTATTTAAACTAGCACCCAACTTCAAATAAGCACCTGATGTACAAGTTGGTAGGAAAAGTTAATAAGTGCCTAACCTTGAAGTGAACAAGAGGAGTATTTACCACTACCTCTTTACTGACTTACAATCTCTTAATTCTATGTTTGTGTTACATCTCCACGTTATGATATTAGTTTGTTTTGGTGATGGAAGATAAATGTACTTCTTGCTGAAAATGGCGAAAATTTAATAACCTCCTAAGGCACTTTGTCAAATGAATACTGTTTATATGTAGTTACCAGCAAACCTTGTTGGCCTAAAGTGCGTGGGATTGTAAGTAACCTGCTGCTTGGCATACCCCTACGAAGAATTGTGTTAATTATGGTGCTAAGGCATATAGAAATATAGCTATATATTTTTTTTGGTTTTGATAGATCAGAAGACTTATCAATCCATAGACAAAAACAGATACCCCATGAAATCAGTTCTACTTCATGAACTCATCAAAGAACCTCAGGCCTCTGCAGTAAGTACTGTCCATTCTCCGGCTGCAAGCATATATTTATTACAGCACGTATTCATTAAAAGGAAAGAAGGCTGGATAAAAGAATTTTAAAATCATTTCATCAAACGTTTATGGTAGCCAATCAGAATACAGAGTTTACTTCACCCCACCAGCCATGTGTTAATAGAAAGTATTACATATTCAAAAAGAGTCATTGTTTACAGTCATGGGCAATCGCTGATTTTATTTCAAATTCAGTCAAAGAGGAAAGTTTCATCGGTATGACCATTACTTTGGAAGTCGAAAAGAGCACATTTCGATTGAATGTTGGAAAACTAAAACCAAAAACATAACGACAGCCAATTATAGCGAAGGAAGATGTCACATTGAGCGCGGGAAAACGCGAGTGACCAAGTCGCGATTGGTGTAAGTTTTGAATCTGATTGGTTGATTAAGTGGCATGACTTTTCTAAACCAATCTTATGGCGATGTTGAGCATAACCAAAGCTATCCCAGAATATTCTCGACACTCAATTGAGAATTGTTGTTATAGGGCCGTTTATATGGGATGGTTATTTAACTGTCGTGAAGTGTTAAATCATCTTTTATTGCATCGTAGGAAGATGTCCTTTCAGCACTCGCAAAACATTTGGATGAGAGTGCACTGCAGTCGCGTTCATTCTTGGTTGATGTATCAGGGACGTCCATTGATGAGGAACATATCTCGGAACAGGTACAATTTCAACTTAGAAGTCTCAAGTTCAGCGGCAAAGTTCTGCTTTCTGTTGATCAAGCGTTTAATATTGACGTGATTGGGAGATTCTGGATCTGAATCAACCCTGTTTATACCATGAATGTTGGGTTCATCGCTAAGAACGGATTGAAAAATGACTTAAGATTTCTTGTTTGGACACAAGCTCAAAACATCTTTTTGAGGAATAGACGTAGTTACTCACCATGCTATATCAGGTGTATTGTATGGTTGACAATTCGAAGTTCTGGAGTAAGTGCTCCAGGTTTAATCCCTGGGCGACATCACTGTTTTAAGTATCGTCAACACTCCGGGCTATGGCTTCTGCGAACCTTGTAGTGAAAATGAAGTCTAGGTAACGGAGATTAGCGACAGAAGGGACGTTGTATCCTCTCCTGTCTGATTCCCAAAGCACTCTTATCTCACTTTGTCTTATACGAAGTTTTTCCTCTTGTAACTCAGCAGCTCAAATGGGCTGATGACCGACGGTCAAGAATCAAAGAACATTTGATTCCTTGTCACAAATGGTTTTGCTAAAGGAGCTAAAAGAAAAAAAACAAAAAACAAAAAAAATGTAAAGGTGTAATTTGCGAAGACTTGTCTTTGATGCAAATGTTTTTTGTACTTTTTACTTTCAGTTTACGAAACCACAGATTCTGTTTGTAGACGTTGACGTAGGTCAGTTGGATTACTTCTTGCACGGACTCAAGCGCAAAACAGACAGGAAGAAGTCCATTTTCAGGAAGAAAGCACAGTTATACAAATCAGTCAGCTCAACGGAGAATGAAACATTACTGTTCCCTGAACACATCGATACTGAATTGTGCAGAAGAATCGCTATCTGTTTGGCGGAACAACGAGCTAATTGAGAAATGTTTATCCTTAATTTTTTTCTCGTGTTCATGGGAGTACATATCTTAATACTAGTGATCAAATCACTTTTTACAGTTGATACAAACAAAATTTTATCTTTCTTCCCAGTCGACATGGAGTCCTGTATATACTTGGTTCAGTGTAGCTTAAAGAAACCACAATTGAAGATTTTATTTTTACAAAAAAAGAAAATAATTATTTATTAGAGGTGATTGTTCGACACTCATATTTAATTCTTTGTTACAAACTCTGACGTTCTGTGTCGTTCAAGATCCGGAGTTTGAACACAGATAAAGCTGTTAAGTTGTCTTGGGAGAAAAAAATTTCTCTGGCTTGTATATACGTACAGAAAGAAACTTTACTTGTAAAAATATATTTTCTTCTATCTTAAGTGAAAGGATATAGAAACAATTGGAAAGTAAATAAAACGAAAGACAATCTTTCTTAACAGTGGAGCTGTGTTTCTCTAATATAAGAGACGCGTGCATGGTTGCAGTACACAGGCTAACGTGATTGGTTATCACCAGCCCAATTTGAGCACCAATAGGAAAGTGTACGCGTCATGCTTGTAATTAGACAGTGTATATATTAGGACAGTTAAAGGGACAGTTAACACGTCATGCCTATGTAAATGGCAGAACGCGTCATGAGCGCGCGCTGTTGTCTCGCATTTCGCCGAGTTAAATGTTGATATTTTTATGAAAATGTATACCCGACGCTTAGTTTCTTTCTCAAATTCTGTCATAGTTTTGATTAATTGGTAACAGGACTTCGTGTTGTCCAATTCTGTCTGTAATCATACTCGTGATTAATAAACCGGATTTTGTTAATTACTCGTATGATTGGAATTGGACTCCACTTGGTCCTATTACCATTATTAATCGTTAAGTCAAAGAAGAACGTTCTGTTTTTCTCGCATGCTGCTCGAGGGGAAAATGTTATAAAAAAGTATAGTTGTCAGGAGTGGGATTCGAACCCACGCCTCCATTCGGAGACCAGAACACTCATCCCAGCGAGTTCTGGGAAGGGAATACCCCTTGAGTCTGGCGCCTTTGACCGCTCGGCCATCCTGACTACTTACAATTAAAATTTGTTTTTTTCAAAGAAACCGCAACAAGTGCATAAAAGAAAACGGGCTTTGTTTTATGAACAGCAGCACGGGCTCATGTCGATGAAAGCTGGCTTAACGTACCAGAGGGATGTAAGTGAACAAAAACCCATCTTAACAGAAATATGATGCAAAAGCTACTGGTTAAGAGAAACCATATGAGTCTCATTTTACCTCCATGAAAAGGAAAAGTTAAAATCGATTAAAAAAAACGCAACAGCATAAAGAACGAAAAAAAAAGGAAAAAAATTTACAGAAGCAGAAACATAATGGGAAATAAACAACGACAACTAACACACTCTCACAAACAAAAATACACGGGGCTGAACCTTTTACCACGTCCGAAACCAGCTATTACCGAAATTTCCCTCTTGATCCTTGGAAGACGGAGACGGAGAGACGTGCTAGTTATGCATACTTCGAGTAAACTGTGCAATGATTGGCTGATGAGTGGAAACGCGCCACAGTGAGAAATGAAGAAGAAACAACACGTTGTTATGAACAACCTGTCCTTTTAAAATCGCGTACATTGTGGTAAACAGTGCAATAAGTTTGGTTTCTGCCGTTTTCAAATTTTGCTTCCAACTCATTTTTACCGTTGGTCAGCGCAAAATAGTTGAAATTGACGCTGATGTTGTTTTAATTTTTTCTTGCTAGCTTGCAGCCTGATTTCTTGAATATCAGCTGAGCAGAGTTTAAATTTAGTAATGGCTTCAAGGTTCAAAAAGGTAGCACTTAATTCTTTAGACCAAGTTGTATGTCCAAGTGCTATAGCGTCTTTCAATTTTTAAGTACTCTGCATCTGAGCGTTGAAATGTTGATTTTTAGGGTGTAAATCAAGTCAAACTCTTGAATAAGATCACCACAGGATTCTCCAAGAATGAAGGTGATAGTTCAGAAGAAACAGCGGATAAACAGGAGAAAACCAACATGACCAGTTCCCTCAAAAGTGTAAGTTTAAAACCCTTAACATATAAACAGACTCATCAGTTACCCCTTGTAGACATTGTATAATACCATCAACCAGATTTTTGTGCTTATCCCAGGAATTATCATTTGAGTTTCAAAAAATGACCGTCAATTTTTTAAAAGAAAATCTTAAGCAATGGGTAATTTTTAGTTATCTTAAGCATGGCTGAAAGGTTTTTAAGGGCCATGAACACATGAACATTTGTATATATGAATTACAGAGTAGATAGTGAACTTTATGGAAAGAGTTAGTAGTCCGCATAGATCAAAATAGAAATAGCTTTTTCGACATAATATCCTCTGTGAAAAATTTGTACCTTGTCTATGAAATTGTGATGAGATGAATAATATTTTTTGAAAAATAAGTAGATGAATGAATTTATAAACAGATAATCTAGCTGTGGCACAACAACGGCTGGTTCATTATGTGTGTGTAGACAACAAATTCTTGTTGGTTTTCATGGAAAAGAGGGGGGTGGGGTTGGAGAATGCTTAACAAAGTATCCTTTGCCTTATGCTGGGTTTAGGAAGCAAACCTGACTTGCAGAAGTTATGTGTCAGTACTCTTTAAATACCTCTGAACATTGTGCCATTGGTGTCCCCTCCCCAGAAAGTCATTATTTAATGAGCATGATCTAGGAAGTGGTGATGATGGTGGTGCAGCATCTTTTGTATAGTTGCACATTGAATTACATAGGTTGCTTGGACATGGTAAGGCCCTTACTTATATTTTCATGCCATTCTGCTAGTCATGTTTATCCTTGTGGTTATTCTTTAAGACTGTTGACAGGGTGATGCTCCGCATGAAGGTTACCTCTATTTTGAAAGATGTTTCTGGAAAGGACAAGGAAGAAGAGAAAAGGTTAAGCCCTATTTTGTGCTCTGCCTGATCAACTGAAAGTCTGTCAGTATTACTTTGATCCAAAGTATGAATACACCCTACTGTAAATTATAAAACTTATTTACCCTTGATACCTTAACAGCAGTAGACAAGTTCTCCACACTATATTCTATACACTTTTAACAATCAAAAGCTTCTTGTCTTCCCAATCATTTCCTTTATCCTCATGGTGTTTATGTTTGATGCGGGAGTGATACTGTTTTGAGAAATTAGATGCTTATCACTATTATGCTTTAGTAGTTAGGAGTTTTTTTCTAGGTTTTACTGATTAGAAATAACCAATTATTGTAAGGTGTTTGTATATATGTGTACTGTCTTGCATTTTTTCTTTTAAGAGGGTAAAAGTTCCATGCTAGTCATGCTGCTGAATATTGAATTGCCTCCTTTTAAATTGCCTGTTTTATACTACTTTCAGTAGATGTTTTTAAAATGCAATGCCGCTGAATGACATAAATCCTGGCAAATAGGTGCTTTTTGTTAACTGATGGACATGTCCCTTTTCACATATAGAGATAACTTAAAATCTTTCAAGACCTGGTGACTGTTATCATTTAAGGTCAATCCTGTTCAATTTCTTTGATTTCAATGCAGTGAGAAAGAATTCCATGCAGTTTTCCATGCAGTACAGAATGAGGTAATGTTGAAATTAAAAATATATGGTAACAAAAGTACCTTTTGGGAAGTGTCAACAGGATTTTCAAGGTTTTCACCGAACAAAAATTGAAACACCAGGCAGTGCTCTTTAGTTTTACAGTCCTTTTTGAGTTTGATGGAGAGAGATTTTGTTTTATTACACATGTTTGGATCTGGAATTTGAGCCTTTGTCTTATTTTCATACTTCTGAAAATATATGTCAGGGTTTGTACAGGTCCTGAGAAACCTGGAAAGTCCTGGAATTTTATATTGACATTGGAAAGTCGTAGACTACAGACTACAGGCCCTGGTAATTCCTGTAAATCTGCTTAACTCAAGCAATAAAAGTTTTCAGAATTTATGTTATGAGGAAATTATTGTAGACCATAAGGAGAATTGATTTAGAAATCTTTGTAATGAAAGAGTTTAAGGTGAAAATTTGGAGTCTTAGAAAAGTACTGGAAAAGTCCTCGAAAGGTATTTTCTGAAAAAGGGTACTAACCCTGATACATGCATTGACACTCCACCAACACTTCTTATAGGTGGGTCCAATAAATATAGGCTCATTGCCCCTTGACATACAGCCATAGTTTAGCCTGTGAGAGCAGGCTATTATAGGTGCTACAGCAAACTACGCCATCAGAAATAGGCTGCAGAGATGGTAAGTTACCTACCACAACCCTCATTGGCAACCAGTATGAAATTAAACTTGTCTCTGAAAGCTTTGCTCCTCATGTCCTTACACTTTAGTTGATGAAGTCTTCCTGAGGGATGCAGTAATTGCCAAAGATATAACTGAACTAGTGGTGCTTCAGCCATAGAGTTACATTTTTTGTCTTTGTACTACAATATGCAATAAAATTTTTGCCCAAGTAAGTCTACATCTGGTTAGCATGTTTCTTTCACCTCTTAGAAAGAAGAACTTCTGATGTCAAAAGAGAATGAGGAGGAAAACATGTGGGATATTGTGGATTTGGATGATGAGGCAATTGAGGAATATGCTTCTAATGAGCTATTGGGGCAGTTTTTGTCTAACACAGTGTTCAGAACTGGAATTCTCTGTGTCATTTTATTCAACAGTATACTGATTGCTGTTGAGACAGACCAGGAACTTGTGAGTATAACACAACCCTTAAACACACAATCCTGAGCTACTTAGTAGACCTTCTCTCTGTGTACTGTCAGTATTTTCATGAAGAATTGTAGTATAAAAGAATGATGTAAGATAAGGTAAGGATGAAGTCTGCACTTGAGCTAAGTGACCCGTCCAGCTAGAGCTATGTTATAAAAAACCCCTGTTTCTGTAGCATGAATCAACTAGGAGTATTACTGCTACCACCTGGATACTAGTCCAATGTTAACCCCACCCCACCACCCCCCTTAGAATTTCATTTTCAGACAGTTCTCTTTGGTACCTATTTATACTCCTGGGTAGTAGGCACTGTGATAGGAAAGTGCTTGACCCAAGAACACAGCAAAAAATCCTGGTCAGCACCCAAACCTGAACCTCTCCACCAGTCCAGCCCACTACCTGAAGGCCACCAGTCTCTCACAGGGATTGATGTAAAGAAACAGGAAAGTAATCTGCTAATAGTTTAATGTTCAAATTTTTTCCAATTTCCTGATACTTCAACAGGAGGAGAAGTACAGTCATTTGTTCTCAGTGTTAGATCAATGCCTGATGACAATCTTTGTGTGTGAGATTCTTGTCAAATGGTATCATGGATTTTTTATGTTCTGGAAGAGGGGATGGAATGTTCTTGATTTCTTCATTGTGGTGGCTCTCCTTCTTGGACCTTGTGAGTTTATTGTTGATATGAAGTTTTTAATATTCACTTGCAATTTATTGTTTTTCCACCTTCTGGTATTTTTATTAGTTCAAATTAAATACGCGTAGTTGAGTAAATGGAGGGAGAAGGAGACAGGATCTCACCACAAAACATGTTAAAAATGACTGCATCAGGTGTAATTTTTTAGTTTAGACAATACCAGAGGTTCATTTGTACAAAGTAGGTTGTCCAGTTGAAAATACCTCCTTCTAAAAAAACAAATTCTCCAAATTTCCAATGCAATCTTTGAAACAGTGGACAAAAAGCCACCCATAAAAGTGCCAGCACTAATATCCATCCAGCATCTTTTCAAGCTCTAATGAGGTTAATTTATACATGCAAGGGACATTTATCAACCTCTTCACACCTCATATGAGCACTTCCTATGCCTTGGACTCACTTGTGATCAAGTCTTTTTCCATCCCTGATAACCTAACCAGCTGAATATTATTGGTAAGTTATGTTCACAGAAGAGGAACTTAGCTAGTTTCTTATCACTTGCAGTACATAACTGTTTTTTTATTATCACTGAGGCATTTTTTATGATATCGTTAGTGCTTAGCACAGGATCAGGAAGTAGAGGTGTATTGAGAATTCTCCGAGTGTTGAGAGCTTTCCGCAGTCTTAGAAGGTATAAAACTGATTATAATGAAAAGTCTAACAACAGTAGAGAACTCTCAGGTGGTGTTGTATTATCTTTTCCTCGTAGTATTGAGCTGAAAAAATAAAACCGAAAAAATAAAACCTACCGGTACATTTTTACCAGTTAGTGATAGGTCATGTTTCTTTTTTTTTTTTCTATTTTTTTCTTTTTCTATTTTTAAATTAGAGGGGTAGTTGGGTGTGTTTATGACTTAAGTTGACTAAATTCGTCTTGTTTTAATTTGATTATAGCATCACTTCCTTGCCTGGGTTACAGATTGTTGTACAGACAATATTACAGTCAGTTCCCGGTGAGGTCATTTTTTCCTTTTTTTTCTAGCGCTTATGCCTTGTGTTACCGTGACAAGCTTTGTGTTACCGTGTTTATCAGTCGCCATACACAATACTGTCATAGTTAATATGGAGAATCCTTTGTAGATAACATACACTATAGCCCAATAGCACGACCTCTTCTCTTCACAGACATGGCGAATATAGTATTGTTGCTCGTGATTATCATGCTGGTGTTTTCAGTGATTGGCGTCACGTTGTTCAGAGACATTGTTCCCATGTATTTTGGAAATCTCTCGAGCTGTATCCTTTCTCTATTGTTTTTTTTATTAAGTGATCTTTAAAAGAAACGATATGCCACCAGGGAAATCAAGGGAAATGACATTTTCAAATCTAATTAAAAAAACAGGCATCTGTACGATTAGTCTGCTTAATAACTATGCAATACTCCGGTCATATGAGTGTCTGTGAGTAGAAAGCATGGGTCCCGCTTGCGCGCTTTGCGCGCAGGAGCTCAGTTATGATTTTAAACTTCAGAGCGTCATTTCTCCGATCATATGAGTCGCGTTTACTTAACTTCTTTCAGCAATGTTTTATCTCTTTGTTTGTCTGACTCAAGATGGCTGGATGGAGATTTTCAAAGCGTTTCAGGTAATTAGACGATAACCTTATTGATGATGCACAACATATTGAACTGCTTAAATGCTACGCAGCTCAAATGAAAGGCAGTACTGTGGTATATGTGATATTATCCAGGGCTACTTTTTTTACATGTTTATTTCTGGAAGGGGGAGGAACTTGTCAGAGAGGAAGTTCTTGTTACAGTTTTTACTATATTGTGTTTTATGTGTCTTGCAGGATGTTGGAGAGACGTACTACATTGGAGGAGGACTCTTTCTCCTTGTATTCATAGCGATTGGTGCGTTCGTTTTCGCCAACCTTGTTGTGGCTGTCGTGGTAACAAATCTGGTTAGTGATGAACTCTGATGGTAAAATACTTTAACGAAAGATTTGGTGTAAACAGCTGTATTCCGCAACGAATCTCACTCCTTAAACCAATCCTTTAAAACCCTAACGAGATAGTTTGTTGTTATCAACTGAGTTCATGATGTAACTTGGCCACTGAAAAGAGTTTCTACTGAAAGCTGCCGTTTCGAGCGTTATCCCTTCGTCATCGCTCTGACGCAGGGCTGCCGCTCGAAACGTTAGCTCTAGAAAGTCTTTACGGGGGCTAATTTACAATACCAACACAATTGACAAAACCTCTACCGACTGTGTTTCAAGCAATGCGATGCCATATGTGAGTTGTGTGTTCACTGTCACCTTCACTTACTCACTCAAAAAGGAATTTGCTATGATGGATGTGAAGACTGAAGGAAAAGATCGCGGAGAAAAAGATGACCTCAAAGCCAAACTTGACGGAGATGGTAAGTTGTGTCCAGGCGCGCAAAAAAGCTTTTTAATCATTAAGTTCCCGATCTGACTAATTGCATCCTTGTAAAATGTTTAAGAAAACTTGAAATGAAATAAACAATTTTAAGCAGCAGATGGATGAAGATGAAAGAACTAACTGCGGGGCACTATATTGATTACCTGAGACTAAATCGGATTCTCGAGGCTCTGGAGAAATGACTGTACAGTGCGGAAATCATCGCTCTGGTAGCTCAAGAATTTCCAGCGTCTTATCATTTTGTTCTTACATCAGCCTCATACTGGACGCTGAGAGAACTGTAAAGACTTATGAAATCGGTCGAATTTGTGTAGCCTGCGTAGCTTGCGGTTTTGGGGCGCTCGATCGCTTGAAATAGGCAGCGGATGGAGCCGAGAAAACGGGGAGTGGAGCATCAAAAAGAGACTAGTGTATCCCGTCTTAAACCCTTCGCGGCTTCGCCTTTCCTTCTCTCGGTTTCCCCGCACAAAGCTTCAAAGCACTCACAAAACCGGCAGGTCTAAGGTTAGTATTTGCAATTTTCAGACACCACTCTGAAGACTGTGGGAGTTGAAGAAGTTCCAAGTTTTGTGTACTTGAAACAAATGCCGTTTCAGTTACCGGTAAGATTTGACTTATTGAAAGGAAAGTTTTTTGCGTGTAAAAGGTATTACACTAGATAGACAAATAATTTAGTTTACTGAAAAGTTCGTGAACGGCACATTATATCTTTGATTTGGCTAACCTTTGCTTTAACCTTTAAGAAAGATCCAACAGAAAATTAAATAGTCTGAGTAATGTCTCCCTTTCAAATCAAATGCAAATGTTTCTCATTGATGCAAGATTTGCCACGTGGCGAAAGCAAGTTATTCCAACTTAACTAGTGAATTATTTTGCTGTGAAGAGAGGTTTTACAACAATTAACTGTTAACATTGAACTCCTTCTGAACAACATGAGTGGTTACTTTTTTATTAGTACTTAAAAAAACTTGCAAGAAACCAAGTTTTGTCGTTGTTATCCTGGCACGCTTTTGTTAATCTCTGCATGTGGCCTCGATTGCCGCTGCTCTCAGAATGGACTTAATTTCTTAACTGGGGCAGCAGCGTTGTCGAGCCGAGAGTGCATTATACCAGGCCCGACCTGAGCCTCTCTCTCGGGTCTTGCTTTCGTTTGAATGCATGGCCGACCGGCGATGCCTTATCTGGACACCGGCTGGTGTTGGGAAATTTCAATTATATTTATATTTATAATTTCTTTTTTTTTCTGTCCCGAGGTTAAGTGTTTGGTCGCTTTCTTTAAGTAGACTTCTATCTCTCTCGTGTCTTGCTTTCGTTTAAATGCATGGGTGAGCGACGACGCCATTTCTGGAGAGCGGCTGGTGTTGGGAAATTTTAATTATATCTAGATTTATAGCTTCTTTCTTTTTGTCCTGAGGTTAAATATTTGGTCGCTTTCTTTAAATAGATCTTTTATTACATAGGACTTGACAAAAATTCCTTCCGAGAAACTAGAAAATTATTTCCTCATTCTGAGCGCGATTGAAGAAAATCTGGGAGAATCGAAAAGAATCAAGGCAGAGATCAATGAGGTGAGAAAGCAAGATGAATAGTTTCCAATGGAGATGTCATGTCTCGAGTGAAGGTAAATTGATCTGTGGTCGTGAAGTGCAGTGACTGGTACTTGTCATACCAGAGGTAACCAGGCGGATGTTTGTACCTCTTAGTCCTTTCACTACCGAGATCACTCTGGCTCCTGGGGTTCGTAATCAAATCAAACAATATCGCCAACTGAGTTGATATTTTCTGGCATTTCTTTACCTTCCTGCATGAATATCTACATTGCTACAGAATCATTTATTATGCTGCTACGATAGGAGAATTCTTTTTTTGAGACTTACGGTGGGGAAAGGATACATCTTAAGTTCCATGTTGTTATTTGCTATAGAGGGTAATTTGACGGCTGTTTTGTTTGTTTTTACTCAGTGATCATGCTTTCTCTTTTCTCAGATAATTGGTGAAGTGTCGGAGCTACAAGAGAAGGCGAAGAAGGAAGGGATTTTGAAGAATGACAACGAACCCGATGATACGAAAACCAGGAGCGACGATAATTTTGAGGTATGGAATTTGCATCTTTGAGTTTTGGATTTTGTAGGAACACTGTTTAAATATCAGAGGGAAATCATTAGATTACTTTTTAGAGAAAAGAAGAGAATCTTGGCTCTTTTTTATTGGGGTGTTCGTATCCATTATTTAAGATGAGTTTAAATTCCTCCCCGAGCATACTGATATCTGTTCATATTGTTCAAGCTAAGCTGAGACTATTCTTGAAGGATTTGGAAGAACGCCATCAGTCTGTTAAATGTAAACAATACTTTGACTATTTTGTGTAATGAAAAATGATCAGTTCAACAATATTGTAATTTGACCTTATTACTTCGTGCGATGTTTCTCAGTCTATTTTTGTCACGTGATCTTTTTTTTTTTTAATTTATTTTTTTTTTAACCAAAGATGTGCTTGGGAGAGTATTCTATGCATTATTTTCAAAGTTCTATCATACATGTAGTGTCCAATGTGGTGGTCTGGTGTCTACCATTCTGCACTGAGAGGTGTGAGTTCGAGCTCCTTGAGTTGTGATCTGGGGAGAGAAAATTTACTCTAGTAATACCTCTCTCCATCCAAGAGTATGAATAGGTGCCAGCAAACTGTTATGGAAGCCAAAGGAATACTTGAGGGGGGGGGATTGATAACCTGCCATGGATTACTATGTCATTTGGAAGAAGAAGCAATGATATTAATCTAAATCACTCAACCCTTTACAGTGATTAACACTGTTTGCATGTCCTCAGCCCACACAGATAACTGGTGGCGATTTGATGTCGAACCTGATGGAGATGGAGCAAGGTAAACTATTTGACTCGCGCAAGGAGACATTGGGGTCCATGCTGCGAGAGGGCGCTAGACTGGTGAGCACAGTCACACAAAAGAAAAATACAACTGATGAACGGAGAAGGCCTTCCATTCCGGCTACTTTTTTCAATAAAGGGTGAACACTTGAAGTCTTTAAAAACCTTGTCGAAGATTGTATGTTAAAGTAAGACTCGACTATACGCAGAGCTATGATCTCATTGTCAAGCTTTCATCGTGATCTACTTGACTTCATTTTCATTTTGATCATCTGTTATATCAATTGAAAATGAGAGTCGAACAGTTTTTCTTGGGAATTTTAAGGGTTGTTTCGTCTCGGAGATTTATCAAATTTCAATAAACTTACAGATAAGCCTTAGAACTGTTACATACCTGTCTTCCTGATGGCTGATTAACTCAATTTAACCAAACCACATCGTCTGTACGGAATAGATCAGACTGATGCCGACAAGTTAAGTATTAATTAAATCGAAGGCAGATTTACCAGTGATTATCGAACTGTATGGACCCGTCAGGCTCATATTGGTCAAGACACCCGTGGAATCCCTTCACAGGACATGAACTGAACACTTCAGTTTCGTATGCGTCCCAACCGGACTGTTTTCCAGTCGATAACCAGTGTTCGGCGTGTTTATAAACTTCCTGACCGTAGCGATGTCTTACATAAAGCCCTGGATTATAAGGAGAGTTTAACCAGTTTCCGCTAAAGAGGACCTTCGTCGGGAGGTGCTCATTGACGAGGATCTCTCTTGGGTTCATCCGATGCTGGCCGTACATCTGAATGGACCATCCATTAGCTAGTAGCTCAATCTTACCACCAGCTTCAATTCCTTCTACACAGCACCATGGCTCCTCTGAAAAGGAATATAAAGCTAAAAGCAAGGCCCAAGTTATAAAACCTTTTTCAAATTTGGCGGCTGAACACCAAAATCATTCAAATTTTAAACTGCACAGGAAATGTATTCAAGTACCTAATGAGCAGACATTTCTTGGAGTCGGCAGTGCATGTGTAGTTTAGCTAATTGCTTTCCTTCCGAAAAAAGGTTAAATTAAAATTTGTGTAACAAAAGAGAGAAATATTCATGGCTGCTTGTGGGTTTATGCCTCCGTTCCCTCTTGAAATATGCGGCAGATTAATTTTATTTTATCATACTATCAGTCATTTCTTTGCATGTTATGCTATGCTTTGAGTATTGGGAAATGACAGGGGTTACTAGGTCCTTTTGTCATCGATAGATTCTCGAATCAACTCGCTTTGATTGTGAGTACCCAAAAGAAGATCAACAGGTTTGATATTGAAACTGAACATAAGGTAAATGCTGTCTCCTACTTACTTATTTCATGGACCACATATCGCTGACTAGTGAACGCGTCTTTTATCTTGACTATCTTTGGAAAATCTGCAGTGAGAAAAGCAATATCGGCATCTCTTTCCCAAGGCAACACCTTGTTGAGTTTAACAGCTCCTAATAATGTTCCCTCTTGCAGCTCGCAAGTTATATTATTTCTTTCGCATTGCTCCATCACAAATTTGATTGCATCCGCTAAATTCTCCAAACAACATGGTGGAACGACAAATCCTGACTTCAAGGGACATTTTTCTTCTTCACGATGCTTTACACCCCTTCTACAACCAAACCATCGAGTTTTGCCATCGGCTTCGACTATCTTTTTAATGCTGTGTTTCTTTGCAAAATTTACGAGATCTTCGTCAAGTACCGGAGAAGGCTGGCGATGGAACATGACATCCGGGCAACTGATGACCGAGGTCCCAGAGTGACCAAGTCCCGGGTGTGAGTTGAAATATCGATCTTTTACTCTCAGGAACAGTTCTTGGAAAATACCATTATTCCCGCGCAAATGAAATTTAAATTCTTTCAACACGGATGTTTTTGCCATAAATGGGCCAGATATGTAATCGCAAACTAAACATTCACTAAATGAACGATAATAACCGGATTTGTAAGTCAAGGTGTAATTTTTAAGCTGCGTTTGAAGGCAGCCGTTTGACCAGTGACCCGTAAAGTTTCTCCAACTGCCACCCGCAAAGAACGTATTTTTATGAGTCGAGAGAACTCTTAGAAGCCTTTCAAGATTGACATCGTTTGTAAAACGTGTCAAACTGGATGCAATCAAGATATATTGAGTTTTTATTCCAGTTATAATGTGTTGAAGTAAATCTCCTTTGCTAAACGTGTAGTTTCTGAGAGAGTGGATGTAAATTTTGGTGTGTAAATCAAAGATTATTTTGCTCCTTAGCGTTTCGATTTCATGTTGATTCCAACTTTTTCCTAGAATAAAATGAGTTCGGATTCCTTGATGTAAACGGTACACGCTTTCAAGGAACATAATAAACCTGCTAGTACGACTTGTAGGGGTGAAATCCTCTAGTTGGTCACCAGTTTCTGTCGTTAAAACAACTTCATCAAAAATTAATGTCACAAGTTCATTTACGTCCCGTTTGACAGAACATTCTTCAGTTTGAAAACCTTTTCTGTAAAACGGATAGCCATAAGTTGATCCTTTATAAACTTCGGGACATACAATTTGCGATTCTTTCACCTGATCATCACCGGACCGTCTTCGCCTATCTTTAGAGTCCACGTTAGCACTCGTAATAAACTCGATTTCTCGAAGAAGCTGTCGTAGGTTGTCGTAATGACCGTCGATTACTTTCGCCATGGCAATGTCGCGATCTACAGACATTCTAACATAAGTCAAATCTTTGGTGAGTCTTCGAAGACGCTGAATTATTTTCTGTTGCGCCATGCATAGCGGTTTGTTTTGAACTTTTCTCAACAAAGCGATCTGCGTTTCGTTTCGCAAAATAGCTCGTGATGTGTGATAAATGTTGATGATCAAGTATATTATAACCAACAGTATAAGGATTGTCTTCAATTTCCGCTGGATTGCCGACATTCCAAATTACTTCTGCACAGCTTGTCTTGCCGCTGCCGCCGAGGTCTGTCTATCCTCTAAAACTCGCCATAATTTGAAGACAGCATTTCACCTACGACCCAAGCATCGGCAAGTGATTGCTGATCGCCGTAATGAGCGATCTAAAACAGACCACTCGCTCTTTCAAGGGGACCCTTTTTATTACGCTTAAGCTCAATTTTTGCTTACCTTACCATAACGATGTGGTTCATACAAAACAAGCATGAAGATTTCAACAAAATTGTGTCGCCGTGCGGATTTCCATAGTCTGTTTAAGCAACCAGTCAGGTTTTTTCATGTACAGTGGAAATTAACGTGGGGGGAGTGGGAGCTAAGGTTGTTATAAAACTGGCATGCGCAGATGTACACAAGTCTCATAAGAATAAAAGACGTCTACAGAATTGATGTCTTTAAAGTTGGAATTTAACTTTGAGAAGCACCTCGTCCGGCTGTTTCTTTCTTTCTTTCTTTTTTTTTTTTTGAGGGGCGGGTTGAAATTGGGACTGGGAGTGTTGGTTTTATGTGTGGGGAAAAAACAAGAGAACCCGGGGAAAAAACCTTAGAGGCAAGGACAAGAAGAAACTTGAACCGTGATACCACATCCGGTGATCGAACCCGTGCCACAGCAATAGGAGGTGAGCGCCCTCACAACTGAGCTATGCCTGTTACCCATAATCCATGTTCCGTTCGTATGTAGCACTTTTCCGGGGGAGTGAACTGGGTAATACAACTCGAGTCGCTAAAACTGACACAAAAATGCACAACAGCTCCTGATAAATATCTTTGCGATTTGTTTTATAATAAATTTATGCATAAAGTGATATATAAACTTTACAAAGAAGGAACTATTTTAACTTAGGTAAATATTTTTTTGAGTTATGACATTTCGTTTGTAAAAATTTAGTGTTCTAATAATAATAATAATAAAAAACTTCAGAGTCCTTTAAGATGTGTAAATCCTCTGCATGGCAGACAGTAAGGAGAATTTCTAATGAGATCTTGGGAGTTAAAGGGTTACGGGTTCCTGACAAAAGTTTGATGGCTGGCGCATCAAAGTGTCCGAGCAAAATGGTAATATTTTATGAATTGTAATTGTGTTGTATCTGGCATACAAGAATTAAAAAATATGACGATCAAAATCTGATAAAAATGCATTTAAATTAAACTAGGTGCATGTAGTATTTCTTTCCTGTGTGACCTGGCAAATAAATAGAGCAGAATAACTGTACCTGTAACATTTGTCTTTTAAAAAAAAACTATCCATAAATTAATTGGCTACATATCAACATCTCATGTACCTGATAACTGTAACATTAATATCATGAATTAGTCATTATTATAGTCGCAATATTCGGATTTTTCTCAGCTAAACTTTGCAGCAAAATCAAAAGCATTTTCTGTGCACTATTTCTGGTCCCATTTCGTCGTACTCCTGCACAGAAATACACATCTGTGGGAATGTTGAGAGTCCAGCCAACACGGCACTTCCGCTCCATACAGCGTACTTCCGGTCATCAGGGCTGACAACTCTGACCCGGCCAGGGTCACGTGGATTAACAAGAGTTGATATCTCCTTATGAAGGCGATCAGGAAGTCCAGGTAACATTGTACTTCCACCTTTAAAAGAGGATAAGTGATTAAGAAAGATATTAAATGTAATTTAAGAAAACTTGAAGTGCTGACGATTTTTGGCAGGCGACTGCTAATTGGAAAGTTTATCCTGGATGTTTACGGCAAAAGGAATTTTGGGGGAGGAAGATAGACATTTATGCCGTGGGTATGGACGATAGACGTGTGAAAAGAGGTGCAGGCAGGGGAAGGAGAAAAGAATATCCACCTTTGCCCGCTCTGATCCCCTTTCTCCACACTGATAGCACCCACTCAAATTTCATTTTAAGACCCCTGCAAAGCAGGATGCTTCACATCTCTTCATGTTGAAATTCTCATTTCACAACGGTGTTCACTCTATATTTCAGCACACACGAGACATGACATCAAGATAACTGTTTCACGCTGAATTACGAACAAGTCTTAGTGAGTCGTACCTGATAGTAATATATTTTCAAGTAAGTCCTTTCTGATGTCAATGTCGCATTTCTTGATACAGTTGTAAATGGACTCGTGTATTCCAACCATGTCCATGCCAAGCATGCTGGGATTGAATAATACTTCTGGGCAGCGGAATCGCTCATTTGCCACGCGTATGGACTGACCATCAGGAAGCTGTGGAATAACAAGAGAAAGGATTTCATCTTTACCGAGCGGTGAAGTAAGAGCTGTATTTGATCACAAAAGGAGCTCCACGAACTTAAGCCCATAACATACCATATATAACTCCTCAAATTTGTCACTTGTCTCAGACTCCTGTAGTTCGTGCTCAAAATCAAGGGCCACATAGGCAAGTTTCTCCTTAATGTCGCGTATGATCTCTCTCTCCGCTGTGGTCGTAAACGAGTAACCCCGCTCCGTAAGGATTCTCATCATATACTTGGTGAGGTCCCTTCCCGCGAGGTCCATTCTCTGGGTGGCGTGAGGGAGCCAGTAGCCCTCATAAACTGGAACAGTATGGCTCACCCCGTCACCGCAGTCGAAAACGGTGCCTGAGTGACAAGGGGGAAAAAGAAGTCCTCAACAGAATAAAGAAGCTGGGACTTTCCTAAGAGAATAAATCTTTCATAAAGGCCTTGAATCTACAGTTATCCCTCTCAAAAAAGTTATTTTTATAATGATTGTATCTATTCTTTTAGATGTTACATTAAATTTTACCAGCATTTCGTCTCATCAGCTATCCACGTGAGCAAATTTTTGACAAAGGTTTGGTTCCTACAAGATCCTCTAAGATCTACGAGAGCGTTCTGTCTTGAGGGGGGTGGAAGGGGGGGAAGGGGAAGGGGGGAAGGGGGAGGGGGTGTGTGGAAAAGCCCTGTCTTAAAGGAAACACCTTAGTTGTTCACAACTCATCATGTATCTCTTACTACCAGGATAATGTAGAATATATACCTAGATCTATACTTACCAGTAGTTCGTCCCGTAGAATACAAGGCCATGACAGCCTGCACAGCTATGTACAGACATGGCACCTCAAATGTCTCAAACATGATCTGTAGCATACGCTCTCTGTTGTACTTTGGGTTCAAGGGCGCCTCTGTCAACATGACCGGGTAGTCCTGGGACAGGACCCGCAGCTGGTCATAAGTGTGACCCCAAATCTGTGATTAAAAAAAACTGAAAAATAAATACATACATAGATACAAACAAGTTTAGATGTTTCGTTACCTCTGAGCTAACTGAGAACACTGCGCACGAATATAAGCCTTGTAAGTAGATCTTAAATAGTTAAAAATCCCAGCTGCTTCTCGCTTGAGAGCAGAATCCTTCCAGCAGTAAAAACCATAGGAATTCTGCTTAAGAATTAAAGTTGGCCCTCTTTCCACGAAATAAGACAGACAGTCACACAGACAAAAAGGCACATTGTCACATGAGCCAAAGCCCACAAGACCACTCTAATCAACTAGAAGGAAAACTTAGGCGGGCAGTAAATTAATATCGCAAAGAGAACAGAGATAGAAACAAACCGATTCCATGTCATCCCAGTTCATTACAATCCCATGCTCCAACGGGTACTTGAGAGTCAACACACCGCGCATGTTTTGTGCTTCATCACCGACATAGTAATCTCTGTAATCTTGCATCATGGCCTCCTGAAAAATTTAAACCAAAGAAGGACTGGTTTTAAAGATTTATCTTTTTAATTTCAACCACATATTAATCTTCAGTTGCCTTCATTCATTAATCAACAACCAAACTATCTCAGTGAAAAAGAGTTCCCACGTGGACGTGTGCAAATGTGTAAAGAACAAATTTAAGTTGTCCTGCACCGGCTTTTGTTGACCATATAATTAGATAATATTTACAAAAACATGCTTCCGCATGAATTCCTCCTCTTTTTTAATCGACTATGGCTTCCAACTAACCTGATGTCGAGGTTTACCAACGACTGCTGGGAAAACCACGCGTGGCTGCTGTTCATTGGAGAAGCCAGCTTTACAAAAACCGGAGCCATTATCGATTACTGCTACAATTCCTCCACTACGCTCCTGTGAAGCAAAACATTAACTTTTCGTCAAAAGATCACTTTGTTTCAAGTTAACAAATGCCGTAGACTGCATCAAAATAAACTACACCAATGCACGCCTTGCGGCTCAGATTCACAATTAACTCGAGAGTACACTAAATAATTCAGCATGGTGCGCCTCACAGGCCAACGAACTCATACTACAGTTTAGATATATTCAAAACAATATGCTACGAACGGCGCAACCAGTAAAAAAATGCACGGTTGCATTAGTAGTCTGCATTGTTTGCAATCTCGCTATTTTTACTTGGTTTTCCCCTATATCCTCCATTCCCTTTTGCCATTTGCTACCTTAAACAAACATGATTTCAAATTTTTTTCGTTACAAGTTCATTTAGTCTGATACTCACAAACGCGACGTTGTGTTCACTCGCAACTGCCGCGCTCACGGGCGGTGCGGGGGCACTGGTACGAGCTGACACAGTCCACAACACCGGGATTTTCTCCTCTTCATCAGAGCCCAGTGTCTCTCGGTCATCGGAAGCCTCGGCGACAACAAGGTTGGGTTGATCTTTCTCATCTCCTGAACTCAGTGTGTCGTCAGAGTCGCTAGAGCCAATAATATCAAGAAGATCGTCTTCTTCATCGGCTTTTCTCGTAGAAACAGGAAAGTTCGGAAATGAGGCGACATGATTTGAACGTTTAACGACTTCTGATTGGTTCGTCATAGCACCGTCACGTTTTTGCGGGTAATCTCCTTTTTTCAACTCTTTAGCAGGTTCTGAATCGAATACCATTTTTTCGAGTTGCTCCAATTCTTTGTCAGAAGCCGTCTTTGTTAATTCTTGAGGCGAGTCATCACCTTCGTTGTCACCTTCGCTTCGAGCCTTCTGTTCGTATAACGCTTTCTCGAGCCGCTCAAACTCATCATCAGAAGATTCATTGACCGATTCCTTAGCCAGCCGCATGCTATCTTTCTCAGCTTCAATGCGGGCTTTTTCCTCGTACAATAATCTTTCGATTTCCTCGAACTCTTCGTCTGAAGATTTCTTCGTCATTTCTCTCGTTCCCATTCCCTCATCTCCGCTGTCACTCATCTCGTCCTCAATCTCTCCCAACCTCGCGACAAGTTCCCGGATGTTAGCGGTGCTGTCTGATAACAGAGTGTCTTCCAATTCATCGTCTCCGCCTTGGTCAATGACATCTTCGATTTGCTGTTCACTTGACAGGTGTTCATTTTCTTTTAAATCAACCTTGACATTATCTTTGAAATCCTGCGGCTCTTCCTCATGAAGGCTGGCATCAAATCTCTCTATCACATCTTCATCACTATCCGACTCGGCCCCATATTTCGGTTCAGCGTTTGTAAAAACAGAAGAATTTAACTCCACAAAATTACTTCCCCTCCCTTCTGAGGAAAACCAACCTAAGTTAGTCGCTGAAGATTCCAGTTGATCGCCTTGGGGTATATCCAAGGATTCCACATGATCGTCAACGGGCAGGTCCGAAGATATGCGTTGATCATCTTCGGATACATCCGAGTATTCCACATGATCGTCTTCGACTACATCCAAAGATACCAGTTGATCATCTTCGGGTACTTCGGAACTGTCTCTCGAATGTTCTGGCGAAGACATATCAATAGATCCAGACTTAAGCAGCTCTATGAGTTCATCTTCTGGTGAAATTTTACTCTCCTCGCTCACAAAATCGAATTGTTCAATGTCAATATCCTCCAGCTGGCTTTCTGTGAAAGACGAATTTCGATCATGATTGGGTGGGTTCGATTCGGAGCGCCCTTCCTCCAAAACAATTTCTTCCTCGTTTGACAGAACCTTCGACTGCTGGGGTAGTTTTTGGTCGTACATCTCAATCTCCTCCGCATCGTTCTCCTTTCCACCATTATCATTTAAATCCTGCTGTGATTCTGCATTTATTGCTTCCTCTGCTCCGCTGACCTCGTCAACTGGTTCGGTGTTCGTTCTAGATCGGAAATATGACAGGCGTTTCTGGCGGATATCCTGGACTTCTCTGTCACTTGACTCACGCTCCTGACAACAACAAAATTAATGTACGAGGGTCAGTTATGGTACCGATGGTTATTGAAAGACGAAAACGTCGAGGCACTGATGAAGGCTCGACTTTGGCTTCAAGCCTTGATCTAGTAATCGTGATCCGTTCCTCAATTTACTCTCATTGACTTGCAGGGAAAACCTGACGAATTGCTAAAGAGGGGGAGAGGGGGGAGTAAACTTTGATGGACACATATCCTCTCCAGGGAAAGTAGAAAATTTCTCTGACTTATTTCGGGCTAGAGGAACTAAGAAAAGCTTCAACATGCATGTGAGACATGATATTGCCTGAAATGTTAGTTTCCACTGTGAATCTCACAATCTCACTCTATGAAAGATTCTCTTACCTCGTCCACTGACCAGTCTTTTTCTTCCACCTGAGCCGCTTCTACAGTTTTAGCTGGACTCTGACGGCTGCGCTCTAGGTTCTCTTGTTCCGCTATTTTTTGCTGTCTGATCCATTCGTTCTGCCTTTCTTCTTCCTCCCTTAACCGACGCTGTTCTTCCATAAATTTGTTCTGTTCTCTCTTGAGACTATCTTGTAATTCCTTTTGTTCTTCTTCTAGCTTTGCCTTGAGTTTCACGACTTCGTGATCGTCAAAACTTGCCTGTTTGAAAACGGGCTTTTGCCCGTCATCCGTATTAGAGTGAACATCTTTGTTGTTCACGACTTGCAAAGGCTGCTTTCCGACTCTTTTGCTTCGTTGCTCAACAATCGTACGACCGACAGGTGCTTCAAGATCTCGTTCCAAGCTTTCATCATCTTCCGGATGGACATTAGAATCAACAGCCTTAATTATGTGCTTACTAGTACCAGGTTCAGGAAGCTTCCTTGCCGCAGAACTGTCGTTTTCAAGGTGCTGCCCACTAAAATCATGAGTTCTAACGCCCACATCCATCGGTTCCCTAACAAGATTGGCTTTTTCCATTGTCTCAGGCGTTTTCACTTCGTGTCTTAACCTGGGATCGAAATCCACTCCATTTTGAATCTGATCGCCACCATTTAAAGTCTGGGTTTCTTTATTGGAAGAAGGAGGCTTAACAAAAGTCATTGCTGATGCATTTGTAACGTCTTGGGAATGATAACTATTGCTCACTCTTGCTGTATTTTCTGAACCAAAAATGTACAACGGAGGAGCATTTGTCGAAGTATGTAACACAGGATTTGTTGACTGACATCTAAACATTTGTGGTGTATGTGAACCGTTTACTAAGGGAGCTGGAGCGACAGGAGTAAGAGCATGCTGGTGTTGCTGTCGAGATTGAAACTGATGGCCAAACTGATTGAAAGGTAACGACGGATTTACGTAATTATTGGTCTGCAACGCGTGCATATTATGCGGTGAGCGCGCATAATCCGGATTCGAAGACACCATGCCGTTTTTCAACAACCATTGTACTTCTTGATGGGATAAAGACTGAAATAAATCTGCGATGGCTTTTTCCGTTTTACTGAGCTCCTCTTGCGAGTAAAAATATTGCTCCTCCACATCTTGCCGAACAAGAGTATCGAGTTTCTGTGAAAGGATATGTCGCCGACTTCTGATCTGGTTCATCCAGTACATCTCCTGTTTCTTTAACAAGCAAAAGTGTTGAACCTTATCTAGTGATACGCTATGGGCTGCCGGTTGATTTCTCTGTGCGGAGGAAATTTGCGGACTATTTTGAAGTGATGTAAAATTGCTTTGCTGAACGTGGCTGTTTGTAATATCAGGATCGTGCATGCTTGTGCGATAGCCGTTCAGAAGCATCTCTGATGACGATCGTTGAAGTTCACTCCTGTGTAGGACATTCGAACTTTCTGGTGAAAGATAAGCATGTTTTAGTGGCGCTGTGTCATCCTCCTCCTCCTTCAACAACGACACTTCTCTGAGTAACCCTTCCACTTCACGGTCCACTGAATCATCCGACGTCAGTTCCGGTCTAGCAGTTGAGTGCGTGGGACTGGAAGTTAAATCATCTACCATTTTTTTACTTCTTGAACTCGACAATCTTTTGATCTGGTCACTTCTCCTTGGATAAGAACTTGATACTATTTTTTCGCTCGGACAATACTCGTCATGCAATACAGACCCGTTCATATAGTTTGTATTTAACTGTCGTAAATCAAGTGGAGGAACAAGATTTTCGCGCATTTTCTGAAGTTGCTCGAGTTCTTTTTCAAGTCTCATTTGCTCCTGAATTAAGTGCTCCATCTTACTCGATGTTTGCTTTTTAAGTTTTTTCCGCTCTGGTTTTTTCGGCGCAACTTTTTGAGTTGCCACTTGGGAGTCTACAACCGAGTTAGACGTCACATCTTCATTCCTTACAATTTCCCTTATGGGAGAATGTTTGTACCCCGCCCACCCGTCCAGGCTATCTCTTGGCCCCATTCCACCATTATGTTTCAGGTATCTGCCAGTCACCCCAGGTGGACAGGTTTGGCTTTCTGATCCCTCCGTTGTAACTCTGCGCCCCACATTGTTCATAGAATAGGACTGGTGCGAATCTAGAGTTTTGGATTGTAGCCTCCGCTCTGGACCGCCATACTGCTTTCGTTCCGAGTCCCTCACGGTACCATTCAATGCTGATGAGGGTCGACTCCTGGGAGGGGTTGGGAGAACGAGGTTCCCTGGAGATGAGGAACGGTCACCTGGCCTTGGGTAGTGCGACACATCCCTGTTATTCGTGATTCTACCATGGAGGTCTTCGATTCTACTGTAATAAGGTTCATCTAGGACCTGACCAGTGGATCTCCTGAAATTGAAAAGAATACAACTGATGAAGTGAGATTTACATTCGGTCCTATTCGCGTAAAACTACAGCCGCATCTACAGTGATCAGTTTTTATGAACAAACGCACTTGCAGGTGACTCCTTTTGTTTGCTGTATACAAAAGCATAGAAAAACTACTGGAAAAGAACTTCCCGTAATTAAGCCCTTCAATACTATTAAGAGTGCTTTTCGAAAAAACAAAAACCCCAGTAGTCACAATGGCCAATCAGAAGAACGGAAAATACCTTGAAGAGCCAAAGAGAACTCAAAGTAAAAACAAGTCAGCTGCCTCAAGAAGATGCAATCTCGGAATACTTTCTATACTCAATTAAAACTTTCTCGTCATGTCAAGTGGCCTTGATAAGTAACCTTTCACCAAAACTGGAATGTGACTTTTTGGACACTTAACATAATTTTCAATCCATTTATTTCTCTCTGTCTCTCCAAACCTTCATTAAAAAAATAAACAGTTGCATTTCAAACTAAACCTTGAACTTCGATCGGTAACTTCAGCTTTCCTGTTGTCCCCAGCTCCCCCTCTTCCATTCCCAACCACTAAGTGAGTCTCGCGGGCTCGGATGATTTTTTCCAGTTCTTTACAACGGTGAATCAGCAACTTGGCCTGGTTCCTCTGCTTAGTATCCGGGACCTTTTCCAAGAATGATTCTAACTGCAAAAGTTCCTTTGAGGAGAGGGGTGGGAATTTTGCAAGGAACCTTGACAATCTATCTTCATGCTGTTGTAAGTCGCCATTAGAAGCAGGAGATAACACAGAGCTGCTGGTACTTTTGCTGGAGGTCGAGTTTGACGGCCAAAACTCGGCAGCTTTACTATACCACATATCTGCCTGTTAAAACCGATTAAAAAGTGTTCCATTCTCTCTATCTTATACAATTATTCACTACCTTCAGTAAAAGACGAGGGAACAGTGAGTTCTACTTGCTTGACCTTTAACTCCCAGGAGTGATCAAAAATAAATCGTTCCCTACATCATCAACGCATTTCCAGGCAGAAAGACAGTGGCAGAAAGAAAAATTACAACCAAGGAAAATTGTTTAATACAAACTAAATTCTCAGGGCTAAATTTACCGGGAATTGATTGTATTAAACCTCGTTATAGGATCAGTTCCAGCAGATTTCTGAGTCAGTGTCTAGTTTTTTAAGCAAACGCGAGGTAAGAGCGAAGGGAGTGAGTAGGAGTTGGAACAAGATAAACATTTTCGCGCTACTTGTTTCGTGCGTGGCTCGCCGTTAGCGCTCCCCTTCCTCTCGCCGCGGCATCGCCTAGCCTCAGTCCGCTCACCTAAAAATAGAAAGAAATAAAAATGTGAATTTAAAGTCTATTTTCTTGTTCAACTCTACCTTCGCTAAAAGGTTGTAAAAATTAACGGAATCTTCCAACCATTTCTTGGTGTTTTCGACTTTACTGCGAAAGCTTGTCAGATCTGACAGTAGAACTTTAGACGCTGTTTGAAGCGGTCTCTTATCTCGCAGATTTCTTGTGCTCATTTCGTTGGCTCTCTCAGCTAACTCTCTACCTTGCGTTAAGACTTCCTGAAAGATAACAAAAACATCTGGTTTGCTAACAACAAGCGCACTTTCTTCGGTGTTGTTTTATATCGTGCGCATAAACCAATATAGCGAACATGTGTTCTCCTTTTGTTCGCTTTATAGATAGGTAACAGACTCCTTATCAAAACTGAAGACGACAAAACTGCGACTCGTTTATTTATTTATTTTCTGTTTATAATCATTTGATTTGTTTTAACATTAATTTCATTACTTTTCTCCGTGTTACTTTTTTCTTAATTCCCCAATAAAAGACTTTTGTCATTTTTTCTCGACACCCACGTGAACTACTGAGGCGATGACGGCTGAGAAAAAACAACACAAAACAAAACTATTATTGGCATTAAAAGACGACGAATTATCGAACCTTCGCCAGTGGATGAAACTCGCGGTCAAACTTTCCTTTGTTTTGATTGGCTGTGCGAAGAGAGACACATCCTTGGGAGAATAAGTTCAACTGATCTTCAGCATCACCACGAATCCACCTCACTAACTGCAACCAGAAAACACCACATTTCGAAAAAGCTACGTCAACGTCTGCATCTTGATAATTTAGCAAATCATTTCCAACGTTATTATCAGAAATTAAACAAATGCTTCGCCACAACTATTTCTCCTGTTCAGAAGAAACTCGCGGTTAGTGAACTGGGAACTGCTATTACCCACCCGACTAAGGTTCTCTCTCAACTCATGTACGTCATCATATTGGGAACTAGTTACAACCGGTTGCGACGAAATTTTTCCGTTCCAGGCTTCGTCAAGTTGCCGCTTGGCCTGAATGAGTTTGTCCCGGTATGGCTTGATTGTCTCCATCATTGGAGCAAACTGCGGTTTCTTTGACATCACTGAGAACGTCCTGTCATGTTGGGGTCTGAGTGACAGTTCGTTTAGATGATGCACCTCCTCGAGAGCGGAATCAAGAGTCAGATCACTACAAATAAGGAAAAATACAAATAGAAATAATTTTCTTCTGTTCACAACCTAAAATTTTTCGAGTGACATTAATTTAGTAAAGGAAGAATTTAACGAAATTGGCCACCAAAATTTGGATTTGCTTTCAGTTCAAGTTCTCGCAAACTTATTCTAGCAGTTGCCTCAAGGGTCTCGAACGATTTTTACAGCAGCCGTTCCGAGCTTTCCCTTCCAGCCCTACTTCCAGCTTCAATTTTTCTCTTTCACTGAAACAGTCAGTGTCGGAGGGTGCCTGTAAAGGGGGTCGTGGCTTTGTGGCCAGTATTCACTGTAAAAAAGAGCAAACTACTGGAGGCGCGGGTACAATCAAGCGACCAAATCGTGATTTATTTCAACTAGTCGTGGGTGTAACTGGTCACCACAGCAACCAATCGGAGCGAAAGTTGAAATCATCTTAAACCAATTAGAACTCCTACCAAGTAAAAAAAGGCAAATTGCATAAAGGCGGGAAAACGCGAGTGACTAAATCATGATTGGTTTCGGTTTTGAATCGGATTGGTTGAGAAGATGGCGCGAGTTTTCTGGACCAATCGCAAAGCAAAGTTAAGCAAAGCCAAAGCAATAATGGATTACTTTTGACACTCAATTGAAAACTGGTCTGTAGGGAATCACATTCGATGAAACACCTGAGACAAAACTGCTACTTCGAAAGGGATGGCGAGATTACAGCTAATACAATGTATATGATATATTTTCTGAAACACCCCACCGTTTTATCTGAGCTCTTTTAGTCTCTGTTCTCTGCAGCACCAGATCACCACCAGAAGGTTCTTTCTTCGTGCGCATTCTTTTTAAAGATTTCATCTCATCCACAGCTTTTGGAAGGTGGTTCATGACGTATTCAGAAGTAAAATAGAATTCTTCCAATTTCTTTAACAGGGAAGTATACAGAACAAAACGTCAGTGGCTATAGACAAAAAATTGAGGATTCTGTGAACGAAAAGGAGATTACTTTTGACCTTCCCCCCCCCCCCCCCCCCCCCCCCTCCCAGTCTGGTCCAGATACTCGGTTTGTGGGGAAAAGCGAAAACACGGGCCGAATGTGTGAAATAATGCAGTGCAGAACCTCTCACTACATGTACTTCACCGCTTGTTTTCACGGTTCCGCCGCTTGATGCTCCAAGGCACACAAAAAAATCATCAACCAGGCAGGCTACTGACCCCTGCAGAATATTACAGAACTGGATGAGATCAAATGTTTGCGAGCCATTTCTGGCTTGGAAGACAACAAGATTGGACCTCTAGAGCTCTCGCATGTATGAAAGTAGCACTGCATGCTAAGTACAGTTCAAACGTCGAATTTTAGATGTGGCGAACCTAATACCCATTTGGGTCAACCCAGATAATTATGTTCGAGAGTTGCGCATCCGCCTCGCTTTATGCTCAATGTGCTCTTAATTATAATCTTTCGTGCACTTGCCGTACTTTTTGCAGTCTGATCCATGCTTTATGATCGTACGACAGTGTTCCTCCAAAGGACGGAGGCAATTGGCTGGCATCTATGAAGGTCAAGAGGTTTCCTGTGCCATACACCTGTTCTGTCTGAAAATAAAATATACACACAGCAGTCTACTTTGCCTACGTAAAGTGATGCAAAAAGTGCAATACTCATCGCTATGGTCAAATATTCCAGAAATGAATTAGTAGGATCAAACAAACCTCTCTTCAAGAATGAACTATAACTCAATTATGAAATATTATAATGACAATGTTGATAGCATTCTTGGGGTGACAATACCTGAAAATCAAGCTGTCCTCTTTCCTGGCGAGAGTGGATTTCTCTATTCAATTGTTTCTTCACTTGTTTATCTTCTGGGCAAATAATGTACATACTTTGGATGGATCTGCTGTCATTCTGCAATGTGTACATTGTGCACAATAATCAATAGAAATAAGAGAACAAGAAGCCGCAGTGGCTTTGACATGGGGTCCCCTCTTTGATGGGAGCGTTACCAAACAGAGAACAAGCGTTTACTTGTAAGTAACTGGTTCCGTGACTCAATCTCACGAAGTGAGACCAACAACACCTCCTGGAATTCACTTAGTTCTCTTAATCGTCCCTCACCTTTAAAATGTCAATTTTCAACGATAAACTTACTTTTAGTGTTCATTCTAAGCATTGTTGAACAAACAAAAAAAAAACGAGTTTAGGAGTAAACCCAACACTATTTTGAATCGTTTCGATTACTAATAATACGATGGGAAAAACGAGCCGTGAGAGGTCATCGGCTGATTGATTTAATAGATAACCTGCGCCTACGCAGAAACGCCGGAGGTGCCTTTTGAAAGATAAACGACGACCGCGACCAAATTTAAAACTTAGCCTTTACAACAGGAAGCCCAGGCAATTAAGTTATTTTGACAAATATGGTGCTCTCAATTTATAATTGAAAAACAAGTTTTCTCTAGAGACAATCTCTGGAGGCAATCTCCACCGATTAAAAGTTTATGGCCTACCTAAGCCCCACCCTGTTATTTAAGATTCTATGGGGATAGACCAAACCTAACTAAATTCTGCAATGAATAAAGGGGGAAGGTTTCTAAAGAAACTGTGGTGCTGCGTCAGTGGAGGAGTATAGCAAGATAATTAAGATACTTGGTTTAATCAACTGAGTTGATGATGTAAACTGGTCACCATTAACCCTTTAACTCCCATGAGTGATGAAGAAATATATCAATTTGGGGATAATTAGTAGATCCAATGCTAAATTCTCTGAACTAACATCAAAAGAATTGTATGGTTGACAGTAAAGAGAATTACAAATTTGATCTGGGAGTTAAAGGGTTATGAGTTTCTGAGCTGATGTTTTGAGCATTGGGTCTTCATCAGAGTAAAAGGGCCTTTGCTCTGAAGGCTTATCAACACATGATCGGTTGGTAAAGCCAAATTATCTTAAATTCTGTAATGGTTGGACAAACCTGGAACATCTGAATCAATTCCACAATATGCTTGATATCAGCTGTCCTGGAGTTGCGGAAGTCAAGAAGAAGGGAGAGACCAGCCTCTTTGTACCAAGACCTAGCAAATACAACTTTAATAAATAGTGTTCCTAAAAGCACTGCATAAGATATACTTTGTAATTCATATTTCAAGATATTCACTTGCAACTGTGAGCCATTACTTATAAGAAAGAAGTATCACTTTCTAAACTGTTTCCCTTTTCAAATGAAATCTGGTGCACTGATTTAACTCTATAAAAGCCTTTCTGGCCCAAGAAGAGCCACAAGTAGCAAATGAACATTGCAAATAGGCAAGCCTGTTGTAGGCATTTTTAAAATACAACAAAAACTGATAGTAAAGGCCTAAAGGGCAGCTGAGTGTTTTGATTATTTTGTTCCATTTTACTAAATTAATGCGTGAAACAGGCTATGGAGGCTTGTCCATTTATACATCACCAGCTGTGATGAAATGTTAAAAAATGATGCAAGTGGAACTTTTGCATCCCAACAACTTTGAAAGTAAATGTCTACAACAATATAATAATTTTTTTATTAGGTGCCATAAGCCAATCAGAGAAAAGAAAATATCGCATAGGGACAACAAGAGTTTAAAGCAAAACAGTGAAAAAAATTGCTCAGTACATTTAACGATGAGCAAAATAATGCCAAACCTCGAGAGGAAAGCAAGGTATTTCAACAGCCTGATAACATCAGCTTGGTTGAGTTGGACAAGATTGGGGTAGCGCTGAGATGGTAGAATAACCAAAGGATGTCCATGTAAATCACATCCCCCTGTGTAAAAAAAGATCCCATGATATGCACAGGGTTAATACTATTTTGAAGTCGAAGAATTGACCTTTCACAACATTTTCCAAGACCCTTTGTAAAGTTTTCCTTGACCTAAACTTGAAAAGATGCTCTTGAAGCAATGTGATGTTCAATGATTATGTACCCAAATAACTAAGGCATTTCCCTCTGTTGTTTGCTAAAATATCCATCTAGTATTTTCCAAGGTATTCCATGACTCAAAGTAGGATCCCACCTCTTAAGTGGCCTGGAAAACTGTACTATGGGGTTCCATGGAAAAAAAAGAGAAAAGAAAGGTCTTCACAGAGTGAGAGCATGGTGCAGGCTAATGACCCATAACAACCCTGTATGCAGGTATTTAAAACATCTTCACTTGTAGTGGATATGAATTGTGTGAAATATCATAAAAATCAGCAAACACCATCAACTCAGACCTGAGAGGACAGCAATTTCTGATGAAATAAGGCTATCTTCGGGCATATATAGCCTCTTCTCTGCAACTTTTGATCTTGAACCCATCACCTGCATGAAAAATATTGAAGTTTACCATTACAAAGAGACTCAATCAATATGGTCCATATGTTCAATCCATATTTCCCACAAGTAACAATACTACAAAAAAAATATTTCACCAGAAACTGTTCAATATGAAGTATGCTCTTCAGGAACAGATGAAATCATGCCTAATAATTAGAATAATTTGCTACCTTCACATTCAAGCATTCATCAAATTTTACTTGTGACTTGGAAAAATTTGTTTGACGATCATGTATAATTCTATCAGATCAGAAAATAAGACACAAGCCAAGAAAATTTTTTTTAAAAAATGACTTTTGTTTTGTACTCTACTCCTATCTACTGAGCATGTCACAACAGGTGGTAAATTTGAGGTTTGAAAAAATGCCAAGGTCTTTGGAAAAAAAAGAAAAATATTGACACTGACTCTTCAGTTAACTTTTATATATGTTGGGTGGGTTTGTAAAAATCCTGTTATTAACAGCAGCTTTACTATAGCTAAGAAGTAAAGTTCTAAGTAAAATTGTTTTCAATCACTCAGTGATACATTTGTTATTTACACATGGAATATTGTTCATATCTCTCTGTTAAATATCGATTTTTATACATCACTATAAATTATATTAATTTTATTCATCAGCTTATTTGTTTGTATATTGAAAATTTATTGCTTCTTTTTATGTTCAAATCTATCACAGGAGACTTAAAGCAAAAATATTTTTACAAAAATTTAAAAATAGAAATAAAACAACAAAAACATGCACTTTGACATGCTCAAATATTTCCCCTATATTTTGGCATTCCTGCAGTGATCGGTAGATATAACTTCTTGTTACAATTTTGATACATTAAGAATTTAAAAAAATCATTAAAAATTACAATAGTAATCAAATTCTCAGGACTATAATAACCACCTATGAAATAATATTTGTCGTCATCTCATGAGAACTACATGTAGCTTTACACGTAAACATTAGAAAGAAAGGGTTCCACCAGCCACAAGTAAGAAGATAACACCCCTACTGACCACATGAAGTTCAAATTATGTCACATTCCAGTAAAATATTATTTAGCGGTGTAAAATCTTCTTAGACTACACTATCCAGGATTTGTCTGTAGATAAGATAAGCTATTTGCATCACAGTGACAAAAAAGTAAATAACGCGCATGATTGGAAATTTTGTGCGAAAGATCATAGTAGCAGCAAATAGAAGGCGATAATCTTCCACCACAGAACACAGATTCTTTAGCCATTTGTCATAGAGGAGTTATTTGTGTAGAATCACTGACCCATTAAACACCTTTTGTCACCAACTTGAAAGTTCCGAACAAATTAACGGCCTACCGCAAAGCCGGACACAATGGTCATCAAGCAAGTTCCTCAACCTCACTTGCTACATGTAGCGATCTGAACATTGAGTATCACTCGCCTCATCGAAATGTAAAATAATATGACTCAATCACGCTTTAAGAAATAATTGCCAAGACCGATTAAATAATAGCATGATCATGGATAAATACAAAACCAATAATCGACCTTCTCTTTTGTTTATTTAAAGAATAACATTTAATATTTTACTAACATAGCATGCACTCTACTGGATATATTTTGAAGTAATATTTACTGACATTTAGCCCATTTTCGATAGAGTACACCCTGTTGATATATGAAGTCATAACAATATCCTTAAGGACATTGCATGATACTCCTTGTGCGTTATTTTGCTATATCCTGAATTTCCCTGCCTAGAGGTTGCAAACTTTGAGCTGGATAGGACAGTGTTTCTGTTTTGGGCAAGGGGAAATATCTGAAATGCCACGCATCAGTTTCAAACACAACCATGACTTACCGCCTAGATCTTTCTCTTTTCCTCTTCAACAACCTTTTCGCTGAAGGGTGTCGAAATAAAACATGATCTTCGCTCTTCAACAACACCGTACCTTAGTTATTAGGCACGCATAATTCCGATGAACTCCGAACCTCTATTAGCTTCGTCCCAAAATTACTCTGTTCCAAGGCGTCAACCCGTGCCTGATGTTTCACAAAAAACGATTCATGGTAGCTGTCAGAAAGTGACGACTTGAAGTATGTCGGAAACTCTTAAAACAACACTAATTACACAAATCACCCAAGCGATCGTGGTAACAGCTTAGCGGAATGCTGCTTGATCGCTCTGTTGTTGGGAAAAAACATGGCCTATCCGGGGTGGGGTAGCGTTTGTAAGCTTGGTAACCGAGGTCTGATATATAGCGCCTGACGTATTTTGTTAATTCGCAATCCACCTCACGCGATTTCAAAAATAACTTTCCGCTTTCAACTTTTAGATTATGGCGGACAAAGGCGAAAAGAAAATCATTGAACAATCTCTGTTCGGTAGATTATCTCAGTACTTGAATCCTGCAACACCCAAAGGAAAAAGAAATGTGGTGATCCTATGTTATGCATTGGGATTTCTCGGACTGCACGCAATTTGGGCTCATTCGAAACGGAGCCGAAATGTTAAGCTTATTGCCGACGAGGATATTCAGAAAAAAAGAGCATGAAAGCTTAACGGCCAGCCCAATACGAAATGCCACGTTACACAGTCAACCATCCAGACTTGCATCCTTTACGAGTCAATTTTGTTTTCGGGTATTGTATGCCGTTTTTGTAAGACTTGACAACGGCGCATATATTAGGAAACTGTGTAGAAAACTGTGAACTTGCTGATAGATCGGTTTTAAGACGAAATGGTCATTTATATTGAGTGAAACAGAAACTGTATAACAAGAATTGATTTTTCCATGTAACTACATCATCAAGAGTGAACTGTGGTGATATGAGATAAGTTAAATTATCATACCAGGTGGAAAGCTATTGTTTTTATCATAAAGTTGTTGTCAGTGGTAACTCGCTAATCTTTTGATGTCACCCAAAGAACTGATGTTGCAGACAAAGGAAAAGCGAACAAAATAGATGGCAATCACAGATCACAAGTCAGGATTGTGACCTTTTGAAGCCTCTGAAATATAAAACCTGTTTGCCTGAGGTGTCCGTCTGATCCAAAAAGATTGACTACTGTGTTATTTGCATATGACCACTGTGCTACCTGAATAGAACGTTTGGCATCCTAGACGGTACAAATGGCCACTATATACTTCATATGGGTATGGGAATTAGATAACTTGAGTCTTTTCCAAATTCTCTAAGTACTCTGACTTTTAATCTCTGGATAATTATCTTCCAGTTATGCAAAATTGTCATGCTTGATTTTAATGGAGATCCAGAACATGGGATGTACCCAAAATAAGAGTCTGTACATGGTGATGGGCCTGGAAAATAAGAAATTGGCCCATTTTATGGAAGGAAACTGATGATAATGATAAGTACAGTGATAAACTAATAATGATAATAATAATAATAATTGGTGGTGAAGGAAGTTTCCCCAGAGAGAATTTTGAAAGCTCCTTGCTTGCTTCCCTAACAAAGGATGAAGAAGGGTGATTGAACATGTCATCCTGTTCTTTTAGGATCTTCCAGCAAGAAGTCGTAGAAGACTCACATCAGTTAAGGCTAGTCTCAACACTCATTAACTCAGTAGAACTTGGCTAAATGAAACTTATGGAGAAAAAAAAAAGCAAAAAATGATTCTAGTTAACAGGGTTTCATGTTAGTTGATAGTAAATGATTTAAAAAATAGGATAAGGGGAATCAGTTCTTGTTTGAGTCATGGGGGTTTAGGCAGAGTTAACTGTGTTTGAGTTAGCGGGATTCTACTCTTGTTTCAGAAATCCAATCATGCTTTATTTTGTAGTTTTCATTCTCAGACAGGTTTGGACATCTAGCAAAAGTGTTTTATCCCATAAGATCAACCAATTTTATGATTGTTGAAGCAGGCCAGTGTTAATAATGAGAAACCATTTTTGAGCCCACATGTATTTTATTTGGTTATGTTTAACATTCATTTCAGGCTAAGGTTGACCCTCTCTATCCTGGTCTTCATCATCTTCCAGAAAATCTAGGGTCCACTTAGCACGTGCTACACTCAACTCACCAATCTCCAAAATGTCTGTAAAACTTTCATATGCAGTTTCTGACTTCAGTACATTAGATTATTACTAAATACCACTGATGTCACCAGTGAAACCTCATGAAGTCCATTATTTATCTACAACACCCACGTGTCTTTGCACCCTATTCTACCTCTTCCTATGTTTTTATGATTTGTCAAATACTCAAATGCAGTTTGGCAGTTAAATTTGAAATGCCTTCTTCCTTACAATTGTTGTTAAACTCACAAAACATTTCAGTGTTCTCTTCCTTTCTCCTCCACAGTTTACACTCACTGGTAAAAGTCTACCCTCAGAGATGAATTAAAGGTATGAGGGTCTTGGTATCCAGGTTGATGGCTGTGACTTACAAAAAATCAACAGAACATATACGAAACGTTGGATGTAGATGATGTTACCCCTTGCATATTTGTCCCAAGTTCCAGTTGCCCCCAAGTGAATCTGAAAACCATGTTGAACTTAGATCAAAAGTTGAGGGCGAGACAACCATACTTCAGAGCTATAGAACTTCACTTGGGATGTAACGGACTTAGGGCGACCGCACAAAGGGGCGACGTCACCTGCTACGAAACGTCTTACTTCTGGGCCGGCTCTGCCAGACGCTTGCTCTTACACTACTCTTGCACCAAAGTACCTTTCAGCTCACTGCTCTCTTTCACACTTCCCCTTTCACAGTCTCATTCCAATGTAATTACGGTGCTTCCAACATCTGAC